CCAAATACACTTCAGCTTAGATATCTTATTCTGTGGTTTTCTAGATTAATTTTACCCATGGTCTGTTGAACTTCTCTTACATATATTACTAATTTTTAAACTAAAAATGCTACTGATCTTGGATTTATCTTGGCCCCAATAGTAGAAAGAAAACCATTACTTATTTCCCTGGTAAATTGGCAGAAAGTCATAAATGACAACACTGATAGTTAATTCAAGGAATTGAAGAGACAGTGTAACTGCTATATGATAAGGAAAACACAAAGAAAATAGAATATACAACAGATACCAGCAGTTCTAACACCATGAGTGGTTGCTTGATATTGAACCAGAAATAGCAACATAAATAAACTTGCATGCTATGAGTGACACAAGCAGCTAATTTTAAAGGAGGGGAGCAGTAAAAGGAGGAGGTTGACATTGTATGTAAAGTTCTCGCTCAGGTCTGGTCCTGATACAAATATGACTATCTGAATGAGCAGTAGCAACTTTATTTAGTAGTCTGTCATAAACTGGTCAACTAACAGCAGGTCAAAAACATTCTGGAAGATGCATCTTTTCATCAAAGCATTGTGAAGCAGGAACACACAACTTTAGACCAAAGCATGAACTATTTAATTTTTCTTTGCTTATTACTTTAGTGTACAACTCAAAAAAGTTGTCAGACTACACTAAAATAAAAGGGTTTGATCAGATTAAGGCTGTTTATTTCCTACAGACATAGAACAGAGTGAGACCATGCCAGTATCCTTCATACGGATGTTGTTATTCCAATGCACCTGATAGCCACATTTTTGCTTAAAGATCAGTAAAGGAAAGATCCAAAAACTTGGATTGGGTTTCTGTTTTGCACAGAGACCTTACACTTGAACATCTAAAATGCTTCAAATGTTTTTGGCAGGCAATCTGGCAAATGCATGGGCACTGAGAGTGTGAGTGCCCATTTAGATGCAGAATGTCAGGGGTTGGACTATTGACCCATATCTGTTCCATCTCCAGAATCTGCATGTGGAGATTCAAATACAAAAGGACTTCAGTTTCTGTTAGCCATTTATTTTCCCGTTCTGGCTTCTGTTCTTGCTATGTATTTTCAACTTATCTTTTTCTTCCCTTTCCATTTGTTTCTGTTCTTATCTATCCACGTGTTACAATTGCCAACACATTTTTCGGAAAATTCAGCTGGGACTCAAAAAGTGAAATTGGTTACAGTGTGGCACCAAATATTAATATCACATTCTGTGACTTTAATTAATAAGTATTGTAGTAGATTAGTACTAGGGTATAATAACAATAACAATAATAAAGAAATAAAACATATATAAGTAGATAAAAGGTGTGTATTAGAGGTATATGTAGTACAAGTTGTAATGGAAAGTTAAAACTGATAAGAAATATGCTTAAAGATGTGCTTGATATTTTTTCTTTTACTGTTGGATTGTCTACAATATGGCATACTCCTTTGTCTAAGATATTGTGGAAAGAGGAAAGAATGTATACTTACACATTTTGATTGATAAATCTATAATTAAAAATTATTGTAAAGTAATAGTACAACTTGTCCCCCATATCCATGGATTCTGCCTGCAACGTGAAAATATATATATAAAAAACCTTCCAAAAGCAAATCTTGATTTTGACATTTGTATAAGAGATACAGTTTTATTATGCCATTGTATAGAAATGGACTAGATTTTGGTATCCACGGGGTTCCTGGAATCAAATTCCAGTAGATACCAAATGTCCACTATATCATGCTAAATTGTTGGTGCAAATGCCATTTATGAGACATGTTCACACAGCTGGGGTCTCCAATACACTGCTTTCATAAAGATTTTAGAATACCAGTCTAATTACTGTGCTGCCAGCATGGTGTTTTCCAACAGTTATGTTTAATGAACGGAAACTGAGCTAAGTTCTTTTGCATAACATGACATTTCAAGTGCAGTATCTTGGGCCACATGTGTTGATTGCTGACTTGGAAGTTATTGGCTACAATCAACTGAAGACTGATGCAATAACTGAATAAAGACTCACAATTCAAGGCACTGGTCCAGACAGTGGATTACCAAACACTCTTTGCTGAAGAGGTTGTGCAATGTCGTACCACTTTGGATTGTTAATCTGTACAGGAGAACAGAATCAGGCTTTGCAAGTTGTCTCGGATGAGGCTTGACAAACAGCGCCATGTTGGGTGCTCACTGCTGGAAGCACTTCTATGGAAGTAACTTCTGTTTCTGTTTTTAAAAGGCAAATGGTTTTCAAATGGAGCCTTGCAACTATGCCACTCCCTTTCTTCCCCTCACCTTCACTCCCTTCCTTTGCCTCACCTTCACATAAGGCATGGGGCATTGATCTCTTTGCTACTAAACTTCATTAATTTTACACATCCCTGAGGGTGGAGCAAGCTTTGGTGCCAGCTAATTAAATGCTATTTTGAGTTCCTTTCGGTGCATTTTATCAGACCAGAATGAACCCTTTCTCTTTTAATGGAATCCACAAAGATTTTCCCCCTCCAGCTATTACTAATTAAATGATGCTGTAAGATGTTTTTGTATTAAGTTTTCAAATTTCAAGGCAACTGTGTGGCACATCAGAGTTCAGGTAAACATACAAAAACAGAGGAAACAAAATCCTTTTCACATTTGGTTATTGGCTGGTATCCTTTCAAATATAACTTAAATTCTCCTTTCATCTGATTCTGTGTACATAATACAGCTCCAAAAATGCTAATGATGTCTGGGAAGGAGCTGTCAGCTCTAGAGTACCTTCAAGATCATACAAACAGAGAAGCATTCGTATGAAAGAGCAAGTGCCAGCCAAAGGATATTATTTATGCACAACAATTATTCAGAAAGGAGACTTCACACTGTCTTAAACACATAAGCACTTCACTAATGAAGGTCTCAAGAAAGAACAAACCAGCCTTCCCATTCCCACTGTTAGGGTGTCAGGGACAATCGTGGGATTCTAGTAACCCATTTCAGAAGATATTTTGTGCTCAGATAAGAAAAATATGGGTTTTGTTTGGAAATTGATGGTCATTAGCTCTTTCACAGAGACTAGCTTTGACTGTCATCAGCTAGTGTTCATGGCTGAATTTTAAAAGCAAGAGTTCTTTGCATCACAGTAATGGCTATAACACACGCCTATTTACTATTTATCACCAAGAGGCAATGCTGAATATAGATACTCTGGCAATGGGAATATTTAATTGCTCAGGTTCATCAAACATCAAAGTATCATAGAGAACTGACAAAGGTTTGACAAGCTAGAAATCTGTTAAACATATTTCCATACATTGACAGTATGTAACATATGCACAGATAATATTTCAAGGAACAAACCTTCCACAATATCCACTTCCAACCAGAGCTGTACACTTTTGTACCATCTGAGTGTCATTTGGCTTCCCTCTAACTCAGTTTGCTGCTAAAAAGAGCACAGTTTAAACTAACAGTAGACACAAAAGCTGCTATTTATCTAAGGGTATGGTGGAGTATTTGGCTTAAGTGACAAAGCAAGAGATATGGAGAGATAGAAACAGAGACTGCATAAATGTCGAATGATCTGGCTTGGTACACATGTCTGTTTCCCTCACATATGGAGCTCAGTTACTCTTTGATAGGTCAGCCAATGGCTCAGGTACAGATTACTCATCACTGTCATACTGAGATCCCCTGTTGTAGTAGGAACTGAAAATCTAACACATGGAATAAAATGACAGGTTCAACATGACCTGGAGACCAATACAGTCTTAAGATTTGTATCTCAAAATTGCCACAGTCTCACCAAGCGACCAACATTACATTGCTACACTAACCCTCAATTCCTTGCCCATACATAGGGAGACTAATGACCAACATAGAAGATATGTAGATTAATACTGTTTCTCTATTTTAATTGTAACACTGCTAAAAGACATAGCTGGATTCTGAATGCTATGGGGAACTTTGCAAATAATTCACATTTACAAAGAAGAAGAAACTGGAGATTGAATGGAAATGAAATGATGGTGACATCCAGCTGAAAATGTCTTTGTTTTGTGTCTCTTCTGTATTAGCATACATTTGTCATCAGTGTCAATCCGATCACTTCAACACGAGTCATTGAAAATACTCTCCTCATATGTTTTCAGTTTTAACTATTGGCAACTTTATTATATATTGCCAATCAGTGAAATCATAAGACCATGCCACATTGCGGGTTAACTATGGGCAACTTTATTGTATGTTACCCATCAATCTCTATGTGATCTGCCAACAAAATTCGGGGGTTTGAAACATAAACTTGTACATGAACTAGAACTTACACTTGCATTTGTTATGTAATAACATTAGACAGTGGCCCTCAGAGATAACGTCACCCTCAAACAATGGAGAGACAGCAGGCAACCCCCTACCCCCAGAATGTAGGGGGGGATTCCTACCCGTCCCCATTGGCGATCCTTGTATAGTACACTGTAGAGGAGGTGGGTGGGTGGGGCAGCTTTGTCCAAAAGAATGGCATGAGTGGGGAGCACTCTCTGGCTGCTGACCCCACCCACAAAAAGTCCCAGCCAATACTTTTTTCTGTTTCTTCCTTCACTGGGAGGGATCAAAGCACTTCCCCGCCCTCATGCAGGAAAGGGATTTTCTCAGTAAACAAAATTAGCCACATGCTTTTAAAAACATATAAATGCACTCTTCTTTCTCCTTGTGTAAAATGCCACCTTAATCAATGATAACTGAGCTAAAACACAACATATTGTGCTGAAAATGCTTCAGGTAACCAACTCACTTTGAGACTCCCATCAACCAAAACAGATAGAACATATGTTAATGGAGGTAACAAAAATAGTGCTTGGCTGATGCCTCATTGAGTGCTCACAACAGTCAAAAGCCGACAATAATCCATTTTAAAAGTGGATCTTACACATTTACTTTGTGGTTGACATGTTCAGCTCAGAAATACAGCAAGACCACTAACTGCAATATTTTTTTTATTTTCAAAGCAAGACTTACCTATCTCTTCCTGTTTCCGTTTTAAAAATTTCATCACAATAACTCATGCGCTTTTCTGTGGTCACATAGATTTTGGCCTCAGGATAGTTGTCCACGGTTTTCTTCAGCATGTTGTACACAATGCCACTGCCATCTTTCCTCATGTTTCTAAAAGGTCCCCAGATGACATAGATGGTGTTGTTTGTTTCCTTGAAAAAATATTCAGAATTCTTAAGCAGAAGCGGGACGCTAGTGTGGGATACAACTCTTATTGTTGTCCGTTTCCCAACATCATCTTCATAGCCCCTGGTGGGAGCGTTGTTCATCCTCCATATACACGATGACTGGTCAATTTCATATCCTACTTTCTGCTGGGTCATTTGTCCTGAATTTGAAATAATGGCACAGAGATCACAGTCCAGTTGTAGAGGCTATGGGGAAAAGAGAGAGAGAGAGAAAAAAAATAAGAGGCTATTCTTTTTCCATTAACAAATTAAACAACATCATCATTAGATATAGATGTTCAACTATGACCGAAAGGTTGGAATATTCCAAGAGATCACTATTTTAATGCAGAAGGAGCTCATCTGTGTTTGGACAGGTAGTAGAACTAGAGGAATTGGGGAGAATCGTACACAAAAAATTCTAGGATGCTTTGATGTATGCTAATTTTGCTTCTCTTTAAAGATCATACAAGTCATTGAAACCGATATAGCAATCAAACACCATAACAATCATATTTATTTATATCCTACCTTTCCTTCAATCTGTGAATCAAGATAGCTTACAAAATAATTCACAATTGCAAAACAAATATAGTTAAAAATTTACACCAAACAAAACTTTTAAAATAATCAAACAATTGATAGCACTGAATTGCTAAAACAGAATATTAAAGATAATAAACATAAACAACATAGTTCATGAAAACCCTTTTCCCCCTAAGCAGTCAGCTCTCAAAACTTAACCCAAGGATACATGAACATTAGCACTATTTGAATAATCACATGCCTACAAAAGGACAGGAAGGAGTGTACCAATCTAATATCTATAAAAAGTGACCTACATAGCCTTGAAGCATCCATGAGAAGGTCCTCTCCTGTGTTGCCATCAGGTGTGAAGGTGATGTGACAGTGAGAAAGGCCTCACTAGAAGTCACAGGCAGATTCAAATAGGGAGATAATGGTTTTCCAGAAAATCTAGACCTGAGTGGTATAGGGCTTTATTGTTTATTACCAGCACTTTGTATTAATTGCCAAAAACAACATATTTTATTCCGTGCTGGAGCATGTCATTTGTGTGCCTGAACAAAAAGGGGATAGTTTGAGCAAAGAGAGAAGGTCAACATGAAAGTGAGACTTTGGGTGTTTGATAAATGTAAAAATGAAATGCTAAGAACTATTGACAAAGTTGAGGATTTTGGGGAACAACACTTCTTAGGTCACCCTAATACTGATACCAGGGATGTAGCCAGAAAAAAAATTGGGGGGGGGGAGGGGTTGAAACATTTTTTAGCAAATCATGGAGAGTAGTTTGATAACACAACAACAACATTTTTAATACAGTCCAAAGACCCTTATTGCTCCGTAAAAGATATAAGATACAAGGTTTGCAAGGTTAGTAAGGCCAAAAATAGCAAAAAAAGTTGGTTTTTTTACCTGAAAAATTTGCTCAGTCACTTCATATAATGCGTTTAACTGCCCTGAACCACATTATATGAGCCTACACTGACCACATAATGCAAATTCAAACTGCATTATATATCAGTGCAGATAGAGGCTGAAGTTTTCCCTCTATCCATATTCTTAATGAAGACTGTAAATAGATTTTTTTACAATAGATTGTATACATATGTATTGTATACATAGATTGTATACATAGATTGTATTCAGTGCTTATTTGCATTCTCCTTCACAAGCTACAACATTTCTTTCTATTAAAAAGAATTGAAATTAACAGCAGTTCTATATAGGCATACTCAGAATAGGTAAATTTGTTTATGCTTGCAGGAAAAAATAAACAGAGTTGTTTAAATTTTAAAACATGTTTTCTGGTTGGTATTATCTTGGAAAATTCTGTTGGCTTCATTTTGGAAACTTTGGAATAGATACACAACATGTAATACATTCTGGAAATATAAAAGTCATTTAATTCCTGATGCATAAGAAAAGAATACATGAACATTAAAACTATTTGAATAATCATTATCTAAGAACTGTGATACCTTTGGAATTAAGAATTTTATAATGATACACATTCAAAAATAGATTTTGTCTGTTATTGGTTTTGGATATATTCTTAAGCTCTTTACCTAGTAATCAATAAGTCACTAAGAATTTGCTTCTTTCTAAGTTCCCGTGTGGATTCCTGAAGAGACATAAACCTCTTGCATATACCATCACTACTGACAGTAGCAACAACATCACAGAGACAGGAAATTATATAAATGCAACAACCACTGCATTTTATTACCATAGTCAACTACTGAACCATGGCACTTGTTGCTACTGAGCTTGTGCATAGCCTTGATATTTTTATTGCATTTTCTTTTTATTGGGCTATAATATTAATTTGCTTGGGGAAAATATGTGCATATTATCATCAAGGGATAAACAAGTGTTGAACTAGAACCACTCAAGCAAGTACTCAATCAGTTTTATGAGAACCTATCTACCCTACCCTCAGTCTAAAAGAAATAAACAGACAGACTTCAGACCATACATCGTTAAATGAATACTTAGCACCAGCATTTAAGTGATGAATATCAACGTGGTGATCGCCTTTGGCAAATACAGTTCCTAGGTGTATTCATAAATAAGGTTTTAATTTCATATTCTGAAGTCTTCCATGATGCTCTGCTTGCATGCGACTGCCATCATGTACTATATTGATAACACATTGTACTTCCTCTCCATGCCATGCACATTAATAGGAGAAAAGGCTCAAATGAACCATCATAGCATAATAAATCCAAACGAATAAATAAATGGAGCAAGCTTACTAACCATCAGATCATAAGTGGATTATATTAATTCATGTAGGTAAACATCCTTAATCAGTTACACTATTCCAGACCAATCCCACTGAAAGAAGTAGTGCCACAATGAGGATTTCACTCTTAGGAGTTAGTCAAAGGCATTACTAAGCTTTTCTATGACAACAGATGGTGAACACATGAAGTCAAGACTCCAACAAAAAAACTATACAAAGGCGAGAGAACAAAGCTAAGAGCAGATCCAGTAATGTCTGAAAATATTAGAGAAAGGAAAATGTTGTCCAAAAGGCTTCTAAAATGCTGGGACCATTTATTTATTTATTTATTTATTTATTTATTTATTTATTTTGCTGCATTTTTATACTGCCCCTCTCAGCCCGCAGGCGACTTGAGGTGGTTCACAAGGCAAAATTCAATGCCAACAACATCATAAAAACATTTTAAACATTTAAAAGCATTTACATATCAATTAAGACCATCAATAATAAAGGTGAAAAAGATTTCATGGATATAAACCTACTTTTTGGATATTCAGTCTTGAAAACTAGGGTTGAATCCCAGAAGAGGTAACTGAATAAAACTGGCTTTACTACTTAGGTGCTAAAATGATAACATTACATAAAATCCATTTACAATCAGTACTTATTGGCATTGAAATAGACTTTGTTAGTTGTGTCTAGGGATGTGGAAGAATTTAATTTGGCCTACATTTTTAGGAGATGCTATAATATGTAAGAAGACTGTGTCTACGTCTTTATTTTTCTGACTTGAGCTGATATGGATTAAAAACAGAATTGCGTCTCCAGTCCCTAGATGCATCTCCTTACATTATCCAAAAGAGACAATGAATTCCTATCAAGAAGAGGAGCTAAACTGATTATTTCCAAGCACTCAATGCCATTAATCCTCCAACATTTTGTTTGAACCCATGGCATAAAAATAGTTTAGAACTGACAATGAAACAACACACATTCCAGTGAGTCATAGATCCAACAGAGCCAGCAGAACTAAGAATGACAACGGGTGTGCCTACGTTGTAACCAGAAAACATAAAAGGTAATGATAAACTTTTTGTATTTTGCAATGACATGAGTTGTACATTTAGTATGTATAGCTTGTTATTAGTAACCTAGCTGGTTACTACTGATTCCAATGATGCATGCTTCTTTTGATTTCCCAACAACACTTCTGAGTCTGTTCAGGGACTTCCAACTTGCCCATTCTTGGTTTGCCCCTGGAGGCAGACCCTCATGGGGGGCCATCCAGTTGGAATTTCCTGGTTTAGCTGGCCAGAGGGACACTCTTGCTGTTGTTGGGGGAACATTAAGAGTTGTGGTAGTTCTCGTGAAACTTTTCCTTGATTTGAGTCTACTGGGAGGAGGCTGATAGTCACATAGTGGATGGCTTTCACTGTGTTTAATTAAACCTTATTGCTGTCACAGTTGGCAGCAATTTCTCATTGCACATCGCTGGAAGGGGGGCAATGCCAGCTTATAGAGTCTATCAACAGTTGTAGGTTTGTGATTATTCTACATGTTTTGTTAGTGCTATATTCACTTGCTTTGCTTGGGCAGACTTGTGCCAAACAAGGTGATATGGATACTCAGCAGTTGAATAAGACAAGGCCAGGGTTGATGTTCTTATTAATTTTGAGTCTGAGCCCCATGCACTACCAATACGTTTCCGCAGGATGTTGTTGCATGCAGCTACTTTGTGCTTGGTGTTCATGCAGTGTTTTCTATATGTTAGTGTTAATAACACTTGGTAAACCCATCATCATCATCCAATGTAAGAAGGCATTATGTCTGTATAAAGTGAATAAATATGGCTCGGAATTTAGTAATCTTAATTATGAAGGAAATCCCTATAGTCTGAGTATCGGTACCTTCATAGTGCCTATCAACTTATGGCAACCTCATGAATTACATAAGGGTTTCCTGTCTAAGAGTTTTGATAGTCTCCCATCGAAGTACTAATCAGAGGACTTTGTTTAGCTTCCAAAATACGATGGCATCTGGTGCCTTTATTTAGGCTCTCACTGAAGTTACTGAATATCTTTTTTCAGAAGCAGCAACAATAGAAAGAGGCATTAAAGATGCTGTTGGTGTTTTAAACTTCCTTAAAGACCAAAAAGGCAAAATATGCCGGGCATACAGGAAGTACACTGCAGTAAATTATTATGTATGCTTGCTTGTTTGAACCACTCATACAGATGTGAGTTTGTGTGTGAAAATTACAGAGTCCTCAACAAGATATGCTAGTATAGACCCTTCTTCTAGTAAAGAGTTCTTTTTTCTTCTTCTTGTCTTTTCTGCTAACAAACCAAAAGCATCCCAAACCTGCAAAAGCTAACCTGTCAGCAGCTTATAGTGTAACACTAAATTGCTAGAGGTGTCTTTGCATGGCTTTCTTCCAGTCATTTTCTTGTGACTGTGG